ACAATTTCAGTGAGTAATACAACTTCATTCGCTGACATAAAACAAGTTTTATTCTTGAAATTCGACCCTGTGTTTTAGTGTTCCCACAGTTCTCACGAGTGCTCACATTTATTGAAACCTCGCATAAATCAAGAAATAAGTACGTGTACAAAGTGTACAAAAGCATTCCTTTATTTGACCTTATCATACGATCACAAAAACAACTTTTTAAAATCTTTTTTGGGGTGGTCCTCGGGTAAGCGCCCACCCCCAATTTTTCCCGATTTTGTATGTTCAGGCCCCTGGGCGCGTGCCCGGGGTAATACGGTATATCTAGTACTTGGAGTTTTAAATATGTTGCCTGGAAACAAGATAAATATTATCATGTGTCTATGTTATGTGAATTCTGTATTTGGCTTTTAGATGCTAATTGTTTTTGATATTATCAATCATTAACAAAATAATTAAATTTATTTGGGTCAAACATGTTTTTTAATTACTTAAAAATTTGCAAAATGCTGCAACAAGATTTTGTTTGTAGAAATAGTGCCATGATGCATGGTGTGCTACCTCTAAATATAAAATATGACGACAGTATTCTCCACACTATACCAAACATGGAACCAATTAGGTTTTCATATATAAAAATGTTTGGAAAATGGAAAATATTTGTCGTTGTCGCCTTTTTTCGTCATTAAATTTTGTTGTGCTTTGCTGTTTTAGGGTGAATGTACTCGAAGACAGCCAGCGGGGAAAGAGATTTACAGAAAAAATTCCATCTCTGTGTACGAGGTGGACGGTAAGGAGCACAAGGTATGTGAAATTATTCATACAAGTTGCATTTCACTATGTTTTCAAGTTTGCATAGCACTTTGCCGCTTTTCAGACATTAATAATATCATATTTGTTCTATTAGTAACATACGCACTTATTTCAACGTCAGGTGTGTGTATGGTCAATAATATTTTTTTCTGAACTACCGTAAAAACTCAATCAAATCGGCCATGTAAAAATAAATATTTTTGGGGGTGGGCCAATTGATTGAATAAATATAGAAAATATGTTTTCGAAGTGGTCGATTTGTTTGAATAATTTTTCAACGTTTTAAAACTGGGTTCAAAGTGTGTATCACCGGTAACTGAATAAATATATCGTTTTCCCGAGATTAGAGTAAAGGTGTAGTACTAGTCTGAGACTTGACCCAATTTTAAAACAAACTACGAGCGCGTTCAGGAAATCTGACGCAACCAGGCCACCTGCTGTTTTGTTGCCGTGAAGACGACAGTTTTATGTCACCCTCCCCGTAAATGTAAACAAACATGGTAACGTGAAAAACTGAATAAATATATCTTTTGCTGGATTGGAGTAAAGGTGTACCGGTACACAGTCAGCTGGCGCACACGTGATAATAAAATAAATGCGATATTTACTATATGGGGGCCGCCATCTTGAATGACGCATAAAACTAAATAAGAGACAAGTTGTGAAACGCGTTTTTCAGATTCCTACAAATCAGGACAAAAATACCAATCTTTCACAAAAATACGGTCCGTTGGGGTTATATTAAGCCAACCGATAACAAAATTCGGCTGAATTCGTCGTTTTTGTGTGGAAAAATCCCTTGCATATGAACACCTAATTACGCGAAGAACCTAGAACACTAAGCCGGGGTATTTGAAACTGAAATTGTCATCTAAGCGTTAGGCCGTCGCTGATTGGCTGCTGTGCTGGAATGCCAATTTTTAGTTTCTAAAGTAGGGTAAAACTAA